GCATCAACGGTAATTTAATCAAGCCTACGCCAAAAAAAAAAAAAAAAACCACTGACGTCGACGGCATCATGCCGTAGCAACACCTCCATGTAGATATCCTTTGCTTTGACCCCTCCCTCCCACTTAGTGCATTCATAAACGACGAAGTCGTCAAGAAAAACTTGTTTTAAGTTAACGCTAGCACGCTGGTCGCAGTAGAATCATTTCGTTTTAGTTTTTTGTCTCTTAATCTTTTGCATCCGGAACGTAGAGCAAACTCTTAGGTGATATTTCCCGAAGTACTTAAACTTGGAGTGAGAAAAGGAAAAAAAAATAATATTCAACCGAATCTTTATGTAGGTACCGTGTTGGTACCCTACCTCGTTTTCTCTTCTTCCCTTAAACACTGCCATTCATTCTTTCTCTTTCATTTTCTCTCTCTCTTTCTCTGTTTTTTTCTCACCCTGTGTATATTTCACTCTCTCCCTCTCATTGCTATATACCACACCTTTAGTTTCTAAGTACAAAGTTAGTGTACTGTATCGTACACTTGTCACAGTGGGAAAGGGGAGACCGCCCGCTACCATTATATGCCACCGCCCGTCGACGACCCATAAACGCTCTCGTTGTCGCCAGCAAACACGATGATGGTGGAATTCTTTTACACGAGAGTCACAAAACTTTTTATTCGGGAAAATCGTTTCGGCTAGCAGATGTGTTTGAATAGACTATTACTTTTGTAGCTTGATTGTTGGCCATTTAGAGGAAAAGATGGTAACGACGACGAGACAACGAAAATACAAAATTATTTTGTACGTGGAACGAGGAAAAGTAACGTTTATGTCCCATAGCTTAGGATCAACTATCAGACCATTCTCCAATTCGCACTCATTCCTTTATCACTATTTAACTCATAGATAAACCATTGTTTAACGTTACTTTTTTGCTCTTTCAAGGCATTCTTGTTATAAACAATATGTGAAAATATCACATATTTACACCATCGATAATACAACTTTTGTACCAGTATTGTTACCAATATGTAAACAATGTTCATTCATTTGCTGAATAAATTATAATTTGCATTTAGCAACTGTTCATAGTTCTTTTCCCTGGTGTTTAAGCTCAACGTTCGTCTTGCACCAACAATTTCTCATGTAAAAGGAAGTAGAAATATATGCTGAACCAATACATCGGAAGCTTTCGAAATCGGAAATATTCTTTTGGGTGATGGTTTGACAAGACTTTAGGAAATAATGTTTCGACATATACATACTGTGAACGTGGTTTGAAATTGTATATACCAATCGTCATCTAAAAGCTAATATTTAATACTAAAATATTACTATAATTATATAGGTATTATATTATACTTTAACATCATTTATAATTTAAAAATGTCTGGAAGTTATTTAGGCAGGGTTAGGCAGTTATCAGTTACATAGCCAAGTTGTATTTGTAACTTGTAAAAAGTAACGTAATTTTAAAGTAAAATTAATAACATTCAAGTGCAGTTGGTTACATTTTTTACTGTACCTAACTTAAAATAAAAGTTATATATATATATATATATATATATATATATATATATATATATATATATATACCTATCTAAAGTTGCATTTAAATATGTTACTATTGATGAATATTAATATAATTTTTAAATATAGGAAAATTTTATATGATGAATATCAATATGAAAGTTAGTTTTATTAAAAAATATCAATGATAATAATCAAAAAAAATCTATTACAAATTCATTTATTTATTCACTGTATCTTAGTGACATAAATATCTTGTATTATTTGTATATTATATATTATTAGACGGTAAGCTAAATTTTTCTGAATTAGTATAAATAATTGAATTTCATGCCCTGATATTTAATTCAAGAAATATTTAGTGTTTTTAGTATATTCTGTTTACTAATAAAAATTACATTATTAATACCAATCATGCACATTATGTCGCTTATCTAAGTCATAATATAATGGCTTAGAGAATTTTAACTTTGATTATGTACAAATTTACAATATATGTATTTGTCTGTTGCTTTCTTTCAATTTATATAAATATATCAACTGTATCTCATATAGGTGTTAAATTATTAAATATATAATACAAATATTTAAGATTTGAATAGAATCATCCGATTGTACGTGTAATTTCATACACTGACCAGATATTTATTATTTTATTAATTTTCAGTTTTACCGATATAATAATATTAAATGTTTAAAATCATTAGTATTTGTGTTATCAATGGAATATGTATTATTTTATTTCATGTATTAATATTTAATTTTTAATATAAAGGATTTGTAGTATTGATGTATAATTGTGTACTGTTCATTCATATTTTATGTCTAGATGATATATTATAGCTTGTTATTTGATGTTTGTGTATTTTTTTTGTGTAACATTATGCTTTAGCCATTTACATCAGGTACATAATATTTTTAACCAATGTTTTGATAAATTTCATGGTATGCACTTTTCAATTTAATTTATAGCTTATAACTTACAAAATGTTTTTTTATTATCATTTTTTTTTTGTGTTATTATTTTATTGAAGAATTAAATATAAATAATTAAGTAATATGTAACTTAGTTTCTGTAACTGTAATGTGTTATTAGTCACACATTTTCAAAGTATCTTGTATTTTGTAATAGACACATAATTTTAGTGAAACTAGTTATCAATTATATATAATCGAGTAGCTTGCTCATCACTGTATGTAATATGTAGGGATATAATTTATTAAAGTTAATATTTGCATACTATTCATCCAGAGATTATTAAATGTCAATTTAATAATATTCAAACTATTTTTTCCGAATTTAGTAATTGTAACTTAAAAATGTAATATTCAGTTGATATTTTTAAAATTAAACATTGAATTTAGTTCAGCTTTTTTAAATCGATAAATTTAAATTAAAGTGGTTCAAATAAATTTAAGTTAGAAAGTCAAAGGACTTTCTTGTCAGTATTAATATATACCAAAAAAGGGTTTGTATAAACATTAATTACGAATTCCCTGGTTCTCTTATTGCTTTAATTTATTTTTTAGTCGTATTTTTGTAAAGTATTTATTAATTTATTTATTAAATTCAATTTTTATGATAAAATTAAAAATAAATATAAATATTCTAAATTAGAAAAACGGTAAATTTCATTAAGATTGTTAACTATTTTTCATTGTTAAAAATATAAATATTTAAAAAAACGAAAATAAATGTAATAGTCGTGGTATATTATTTTCATGCTAGGTATAGCGAAGGTTAATTAACTTTGATTCTCAACATCAAATTGACATAATAATTGTAAAATAGTTCACGCAAAAATGGGTTATTAAAAAAAATATTTATTACGAGACTACATATTTATACAACTCTGTGTAAGTATATAGTATTCCAAATTGAAATATATTATAATAAACTAAGTAACTCGACTCCATTCAGGAAAAAATACGGTGCTAATTATTGTACCTTGATATTTGTGTACCTTAGTTCACAAACAAATCGACGTTGGTGTATCTCGCTTTGTGAATTAATTTGACTGGGATAGAAAACCTTCGTATGGCGGTTAGGATAAAAAACTTGGTGTATTTTTGAACGTGGTTAGAATTACTCTTTAGAATTTCATTTTATATCCAAGAATAATTTATGAAATTTATGTCAAAATCAGTAGAGCTAGTTTTTGAATATAGAAGCTATAAACATGCATTAATTTATATCTTTATATATATTAAAATTTTATAAAGTCTCTCTAATAAAATGCATATGTGAGAAACCCTATAGCAACTTATATGGGTTGATAAATGAAGTCTTAAGCACTCCCAAAGCCTCAAGGAATATTCGTGCAAAATGTGATATTAATTATTAGTTGAATACTATAAGCCCATAATATATTTTTTTTATATAAATTGTTTATGTTCACTAAATGGTTTACATTACGGTTCAAAAACGCGATCTATTAAACAAAAGTATAGGAGTGACAACGAGAGGTGTAATAAAATATATGACCTTAGGTTACGGTTGACATTTCGCTAGCCGTCCAATAATTATGGCCATTAGGGATAAATAATATATTTTTTTGCATTGTTCGTAATACAATTCGTCTGTAATGGTCATTAGCTATACGCACTATTTTTCTTAACTTAGTTAAGAAAACCTAACTAGTATTATGTACGTTAAAATTATTATTATCTGACTTTGTGCCATAATTTAATTTGGACAATTATTTCACCTTTTTCTTTATTCATAGTTTATTTCCGATGACATAATATTTTTTAAGAGATTTTTTTCTTATTGTAAAATTGGTATGTTCAAAATACTTGAGTTTTTATAGAAAACCCGAAACGCTATGCACTAGTCACACACGCAAAATATAAACAGTATAAAACACTTTTTTTTTCATGGCCGCTTGCGCATAATGTCGTTTTGGATGAATTGCTATTGACAGGTGCAACTAGTTGCAAACCCATCGCAGACACGTCATTAACAGACAACGCAGTCCTTTTTCCGCTGCTCATGGGATAAAATCAACAGTTGTAAATATGAACAAAGCTGTCAAACGAAATACAGAAAAATTACTTTCCTTACGGAGTGAAGAGGAAGTAGTCGAAAAAATTGATTATTTATTTTTCTATTGACCATTAATAGGCATGCATTTTTTATAATAGAATTGACTAATAGGTATTAATATTTTTTTTATGTTTATATGAGTATGAAATTCGTAAAAAAAAAAAACAATTCTGCACAATAAAGTCAAAATAAGAATATCACATATTATGAATATTATTCAAACAACATTTATTAAGTTTCTTGATAGGTGTTCCTAGTGATCGGAAAAATACTCATGGCAATTCTAAATAAACGTTCCCTTTAGTAGGCAGATCATGGAAATCGCATAATTTCAGGCATAACGTTATATCACAAGTAGTCTTCGGAATTACCGAAATCGACCGACATAAACACACACTGAAAAATCATGAAAAATCACACAAGACACTACTGACCTGCAATGATCAGGTAGACGATGAGCAGATCCGGGAGTATTCCCATGTCCCATTCAGCGGCGGCGGTTGCGGTGGCGCGCGCGACCCGTCCTCGTCGTCGACGTCCGGTCTCCTATCAACAGGACGCGTTGCGGCCAACAACGATTAGTGGCTCCTTCTGACGTCCGTCGTCCTGTCGTCGCTGACAGCCGTACACCAGCTGCTGGCCGTCGAGCTCGTCACCAGTATTTGGGCGCCGATGGGTGTCCGCGGGACGGTGGCCGACCGTCGCGTCCATTGTGTAATGGCAGCGGCGACGGAGGCTTTTGCGCTGTTGCTGTGACGGCGGTGGACCGGTACAACGCCGCCCTTCGACGTGGCGCGTGCCGAAAAACACGGAAACAGGAAAGCTCGCTGCGGCCCGGAGCGACGCGGCGTCCGCGACCGGTGAACAACACACACGGATGGGCCGGTTTCCGAGGTGACGGGCAGCTATGCGACGGACGACGACGTGTCTAGGCCTCGGAAACGGATATTATATAATATAAATATATATATATATATATGTTATTGTATGCGATGACCGACGATACCGTACAATTATTATTATTATACCGATGAGACGTTTTCGCAGTGGTTATTGCGACGACAGCGGTAACCGCGGTACGACTGTGTACGAAAACCTGTCTTCGCGTACTCGGCGGAACGTCTTTGGCGCGCGCAGCCACCACACACACACACACACACACACACGCTCGTGCTTTTTATCTCTTTCTCTCTCTCTCTCTCACACACACACACACGCACACATGCACACACATACAAACGCGTCCAAGCGCGCCACTACTACTGCTGCCGCTGCTGATGCAACCGCTGGCTGGCTGCTCCCAACGCTGTGGTCCTGCCGCTGCTGCCGTCGGTGCTGTCGGTGGTGCTGATGGTGCGTGCTGCTAGCACTCGCCCTGCCGCCGAGCGCGCGCGCAACTCTCCGCCATCCAGACCCCGCCCCGTACCGCCCGCGCGTATACCTCCGTGTATATTTGCACGCCGTAAGCGCGCGCCCGTTTTCGACGTTTCTGCCCGGGCGGCGTGTGCACCGCGTTTTGTATTGCGCCGGGTGGCGAGATGACGACGGTGACGACGACGCGCGCGCTGGCTATCTGCCGTGATGGCGCGCGCGCACACACTCACACACACCAGCACACGGAATCACTGACACACTGACACACAGACACACAGACACACACACGCGCGCACACTGACGTACACTCACACACACACGTGCACCCAAAATGCCGTTGTCGCTATCGCCTTCGACTCGTCCCGTGGACCAGGCTACACGGTCGGCACGCTCGCGCTACTCGTCGCTATTCCGGACGGTGCATGCGCCAAAGCTCCGGTCAGAATGCTTCCGTACACCCGCGGCAAATACGATAATTACCATCGCCGCATGACCGGCGTGGTCGGACTTGATAGAGCGACATACGCAGAGAGAGCGGTAGGAGGTCGTGAGGTGGAAGGTGGAGGGGGGGGGGGGGGGTGAAATGGAGAGAGAGAGAGAGATATCCCGGACGGGAGGACGAGAGGGGAAAACTTTTCCGTGGAATATTTTCCGAATGCGTATGCGTGTACCGGTCAAAGGGGTTAGGGTAACGATGGTGGTGGTGGCTATGGCGCGGCGTTGACGACGGAATGTAGCGCAACATATACGCATTAAACGACCCCGAAATTATTTTGCGCGTATACCACCGCCGCAGTGGTCGCAAAATCCCGGTTACGATGGCATAACATTATAATATTCTACGTAGGTAATAATTATTCGGGTTTTATAATGTGTATGGACGCTTACCATACTAATACATTATAATATTTTATAACTGGTTTAATACACTGTTGCAACATCGTGACTTCTGTTATTTTATTATAATATCTTCAATATTGCTTGTGATAAATAATACCTACTTTTTATACGGGAGTAAAACGGAAAATACCCGGAGAATACGGTCGAATAACATCATATAGACTTAAAAAGTTATGAAATAAATATGTCCAATTCTAGGGACGCTCTAGATTAATATTGCAGACATATGCCATTTATCTTATATACGTTGTTGCACCGACCCGATATCGTTTTAATATTGCAGATCGCCAACCGATGTTGATAGACGACATGTCTTCCCGGGGGGAAACTTTTTTCTTTAGCGGCCGATGGCGATACGCTCTTTGACGGGATATTAAATTATCACAGTTATCCCTATCCTTGTGTACGTGGTCAACATTTCATTTTATTATAAATTTCACATTAATTTTTTTTTTATAATAACGTACAATACAATAAACAGTCATCATTTCTACCGGATGGCAATACGCCTTCAATGCCTTTTAATCTCGAGGAATTATACTATAAAAATATTATCACAGTAAAAGTTTTATTAAAGTAGTGTTGAATTCATTATATCAGCTGAAGTAAAATAAGCCTTCATCTTCGTGATTTCTTCAATTAACTTAAAATAAAACTCTCGATAAAGTTATAGTATATCAACGAATTTATTTTTTTTTAAACCTAGGTATGATCTATTATACAAATGAATAAAAAATTCAAGTATAAATATAATATTTAAAATGATCTAACACACATGATATTATGTATTAAAACTATTATGTTATTGTTAAATGCTTTTTTAATAAATATTCAACTTAACCTAATATCTTAAGTTCGAAAGAAATCAGAAATTCAATATATTGAATCGGATATACCTATTATAACTAAATATTTTTACATGCATGAAATATTGTTTGAAGCAGATTATAATAGAACTTGTGTTCCGTTGAACTTTTGATTCTGAAAGAACTGTAATTTGTTTCTATTATAATCATTATTTTCCGCTGATAGTATTACGTACATGTGCTATTTGAGTTTACGCTTCGTACCCATAACTATAGGTGTAGTCTCGCCTACCACGTAGGTAATGTTGTGGTGCCCGGTAGCACTTGGAAAAACACAACACCGCACAAAGATACCCGACGGCGTTGGGAAAATGTTCAGGTACTATGTCGTAGCCCACGGAGACGCCCATCTACTCTGAGGATACCTCAACGTCACATATAGAGACCCCGATGATGCTGGCAAAGATCTAGCGTCACACATCGATCTTTGACGTCGATTTTCGACTCAATGGGCAGTCGTTAATGTCACTTACGATCACTGTTGCGTTCCGAGAATTCCAATGTCGTTATTCACAGTCACCGGCTTGGTGGTCGCTTCTCACGGCTTTTTTTCAGCTGTTGATGTTTCCTTGATATTTTGTTATGATTTATAATTACGAGTACCTAGTTGTAAATTAGTTAATCAATATTTGCCGTTTTAAATCATCTAGACACTTGATATTGTTACGTGCATAACAACATAACAATACAATAATAATCATAATATATAGTTATTAACGAAATATGTGTACAATCATCAAGAATAGATCGATTGTGTAAGTTTGCATATGTTGTAACTTATTTCAGCCAGTGTATGCAACCGATCAGACCCGAACTCCTCATAATACACAGTTCCAGCCCTTAAGTCGGCGTTAGAGGTTAGTAGACCGATTGTACGCCTCCCAATGTCAAACGTGTCAGTGCAGCGTTCATTTGTGACAATCGGTACGATAGGATGCTGACCGATTGTGTCTGGAAAGTTTATATGTTATATAGGGAATATTGGCCAAAAGCCTCTAGATATCATGTAATAGATAATTATGCTAGTGTGTATATAACTATAAAAAGTAACAAAATAACAAAATAAAATTATACATAAAAAAACATACTTCAAGTGGCGAAAACAACTCGGTTTTATCTACATCTCTTGGTTTTCGAAGGTAAAAAACGGAACCATAATGGGCTAATTAAGAGAATCCTTACAAATCACGTAATTCACTGACTGTAAAAAAGAAACATTAGATTACTGAAGTGTCTGAGTGAGCATTTTTCTGGGTTTGTTATTTGAAATCATCATTCAGGAAAGTTTGGTCGCTGGTCATTCGAGCAGAAGTTTGTATGAATATAAAAAAATATACTTTTTCTGATTATATCTTTGTTTATTGCTTATTTTTTTAATTCTTAACTTGCTTTAGTATTATAAATACATATTTTTAGAAATAAAAATCTAAAAAAATCATGGAATTTACTACTATCGTAAAATAAAGCTGTAACAAAAAAAAAATAATTAAAAATACCCATCATATCTTAGTCTTAAGTAGATAAATATATCATGTATATTTTTCTTATATATATGACCTGTAATATAACACTACCGATTTAATTAATTTCCAATATTATTGCGTCTTTGTTGCTCAATTCTCAAGTGTATTAATTATTATTAGTTTATTCATTTTAGGTTTAAAATGATTTTTATATGTATATTTTTTTTAAATAACTACAGAAATTATTAGAAAATGTAATTATTGATATAAGAAAATATATTAAATTTATATAATTATTTCATAACAATTTTAATTATCAGAACTTATTTTGCATTAAATAAAATTTTCAATATATGTTATAAACTTATAACTGACTAATAAATTGAGAAATAAATAAATTTACCAAATTGTCTTATAATACACATTATTTGATGTGTTTATTTTCGTTGAATTCAATAAGGTACGAATATTTTACGATCATCGTTATTATGTCAAATTACATGTATTAGTTCTACAACGGTGATTTTTTTTTTTTTATACATTTTTGTAAAAAGTTTTTGGGTAGAGAAGTTCTCAAAAAGTTTCATGTAGCATGTTTATAGATAATAAATCGAGTTTAAATAGTACTTTTAAAAATATATTTTCTGAGTTTTTTCAAAAGTAACTCTTAACGAGGAAAAACTACCAATCGCCTTGAAATAATTTTAGAAAAACGTTAGTAAATACGATTTTAACCAAAGTTTGCTAAGAATCAGTTTTGCGAATTCTATAATTTATTATTGTTTTTATATGTTATGCCGAAACATACCAATGTTTCACTGAAATGAGTTAAATGCTTGAAAACTGTCCTGTCTGTCATTTTTAATAATTTTCTTTATGTTTAGTTCATAATGCTTCGTAACATTTTATATTATTTTTAGTTTCTTCTTCCAAGTCATTAAGTGTATAAAAAAAAAATAATAATAATAAAGCTTAATATGTAAATGGTAGTTTTATGGAATCATATTTGAAAAATTACCATTTTTTTAATCTTATGAAATATATTACACAAAACCCTAATTTTTTATATATGATTTTCAATTTGTTCTCTGTTATAAATTAATTGAAGTAAAATATCTAATGTATACGTATTTTTTCAACCAAGAAAAAACTTATTATATTTAAAAATTTCAATTTATAAAAACGAATGTAATTAGATCGAAAAAGCACTTTTTGGGGAAAAAGTATGTTAAACATACCTAATACTATAAACTAATTTCACTGGTATGATGTTAAAACTAAAATTTGGCAGTATTTATCAGAAAATGAAAACTATAAAATTGAATTAGTTTTCTTAAATCAAAAATTATAATTTAACGGATTATTGATTGATGGATGAGTTCAATATTTTTTGAACTTATTGTATTATTGTATATTGAAAACATTTGTTGAGGCGTATAAAGTATTATCCTATTATTGAAAAACAAATTACATTAATATCATTTATAATTTCACTCACTATAATTTGTACTCAAATCTTATAAAATACTTAAGATTTGTACTCATCACTGAAAGTTTAATTTATATATTTTTTTAAATGTTTATATTTTCGACTTGTTAGGATGACCCATCATCTACCAAAATACAGTTACATCTAGATTGTTATAAGGTTTCTGGTATTAATGTACCATATGGTTTTCTAAATTTAATGTGAAATTGAATATTGTCTTTCGTTTTACTTGATATCTTTATAGACCAAGATTCGTTTTTTCGAGAAGAGACAAATCAAAAATAGTCATATTTGCTGTCAACATTCATCTTCTTAATAGCTCATAAATACAAACTATTTTATGTTTACGGCCGCTCGTAAGAGTGCCATTATTATAATATAATTTACTAAATTTAATTTTGAAATTTCTGATATCTACAAAAAAAAAAAAGAAGC